TTTTGAAATAAGATCTTAGAAAAGAAAAAAAAATGTTGATGGCATTCTAATGGCTTGTCAAAGTGGAAGAAATGGATCAAGAAGGTACTAACCATGTTCCTTGTACAAGGTTCTATATATACTATATTATGCATATGGAAGTATGAATTTAATTTTGCTTGTTAATATGGAGTAAAGTACTCTAAGAACAGCTAGGAGGGCTTTTTCCTTCCTCATGCCAATCATTGCAATCTACTTAGAACAATTTTCCTCACCGAAACTCCACCTAATAAGGTGTCATGTTATGACTGATTTATGAGTGTGATTTGAGTACTTCCCAAATCAGATGGAGTGGAAAACAAGTGAGTTTGTGAATCATCGAAGAAGAATTCATTTACTGATGGTATTTTTTCTATCCAAAGGCTTAGATTTAAAATGTTGAAATAACTTCTGCAGGACTCCCAAGCTTTTGCTATAGCTGTTACAACTGTGGCAAAAGTGGCTGTCACACACTGTAGCTGCTGAGTGAGCAGGAGTAGAGTAGCAGCTCTGCTCATCTCATACCACCTGATCCTAGAGAATAATGTTTTCTGTTTCTCATGTTTCACTTTCTCCTGATGTTATAGGGACTTTTCTTTATGTTTCTAAAAGTCAAGACATGTTTCTTTTTTGGAGGTAACTTTCTTGAGTTAAAATGTAGTTAGAACTGTGGCTAACAGCATTGCCTGAAATGTGCTACAAACAGGATTAGACATTCATTTCTCTTTCTTGTATAAGACTCAGTGTTCATTTAGTCTTTCTAAATGAAACCACAACAAACATATGAGTTTTTAACCATTCCAATGTGTAATAAATAAAATGGTGAAAATGTAAATATATCTGAAGAGGCATTAGCCTGTAGTTTTAAATAATAATGAAAATTGTTTAGCAGTCACTAACATGCAAAGAAATGGTTGGACAAAGATGTTTTGCTTGCATTTCAGTTAACTCCCTGATAATAGATGCAAAATTAAATAAGGTGTTGGTGCATGTTTCATTTGAAATGAGTAAAAGAACTGGAAAAAAAATGCAATCAAGCTGATTAAAATGTGTGTCACTCTCCTGTAAGTTAAAATCATTTGCTCACAGAAAAAAGATATTACCCTGTAAAGAGCATTGGTTTTAATAACTATTTATTGAACTCTAACGCCCTGTTTGATAAGAGTGTTTCTCCATAATGCTCAGCATTTTAAAGCCTCCAGTGACACCAGAATCACTTTGCTTCAGAAACATAGCAGGTGAATTTTAATTGTCCAGCCAAAGTTGGAATCAGTTCAATAGGACTGTCCTCCATGTTTATCCAATTGCAGGTAATGTCAAGAGGTGAGATGTTTGATGAAGGGGATATGATTTCTCATCTATGAAATGCTATTCTCATTTGGTCCTTTGGGGACTCTAGCTGTCAAAAGGAAAAAAATAAAAGACAAGTTGAAAAGAGAAAATCTTTATCCAAAGAGGACTATAGAAATGCCTATCTAATCTAGGCTTTAAAGAAGATTTTATAATAATGATTGATATTATAAATACTTCATCCTTTCTAAGTAAACCACATTTAGAAAAATACATTGCTGTAGCAATCAACAGGAATTCTGTGATTAACAAGTCTGTAGTGATCACTCCACGTGAACACAGTGTACTGAGAGCTTTTGGGTAGTCACATTTTATGGAAAAACTATTGGCTCCTACTTTGTTTGAGTCTCCAATCTACAGAGTTAGTCCCTCTGCCCTGGTAGCCTATGAAAATCTTTTAGCTCCCTAACGTTTCTATTTCTCACAGAATACCATTGGATGTGTTCTCTCACAGATAAAATACTTTATTTTACAGAATTTTATGCTTTCAAACTGATGTTGACCATGGTAGAAAAAAGTGTGTGAAATTTTCATATAAACAATTAGCTCATTTGGTTTAACAATTAGCCATAATTAAATATACTTTGTACTAGCTATAACAAATATTTTGTGACATCAAAAAATCAAAGTTTAGATATCTAATTTGAAAAAAGAATATAGTATTTGTATCCATTTCAAAGACAGAGGCATACTTAATTATTTACAGATAATTATTTTTGAAAATTTTTAACATTTAAAGAAACTATGTAAAGACCTATTTATCTGGACAGATATTTGGTAATTGATTATAAAATTATATTTAACTAATAAGTCAATCACATAGCTAGATTAGACTTATACCGCAAAGGTTTTTTTCTTTTAATCATCCTCCATTAATAATATAGAGTATTTAGGGTTTTATTTTAATTCTTTGCTGCAATTTTGATGACAAGCTCTATTAGCAACGTTGGTTAAGTTTTTTAAGTGGCCTTGATTTTGTGCAAAGAGTAACCCCACAGAAATTTTATTTTGGAATTGTGTGTGTGTGTGTGCAGCAGAGTGTGTGTGCAAGAAGAGACAGAGTGAGAGAGAGCCATTCCTATCAGTTGACTTTTGAATAGTGCTTTATTCTAGCAATCAGCACTTACAAAGTTAAAAAACCCAACAAACCATAGAATGTCAATAAAGGAAGAAATATATTTTTGATTCTTATGAATAGTGTTCTAAGAACAGAATTACTGAGTAGTTAGGAGACAGAGTTTCTTTTTCATATATCTAGGACTACTTAAGTGCTTTAGTAATATATACTACTATAGCCATAGCATGGGGTCTCCCCAGTTTTTGGATCACCTTGTTCATTTCTTTTTGTTTTTTGAAATGGAGTCTTGCTCTATCACCAGGCTGGAGTGCAGTGTTGCAATCTCAGCTCACTGCAACCTCCACCTCCCAGGTTCAAGTGATTCTCCTGCCTTAGCCTATTGAGTAGAGTAGCTGGAATTATAGGCACACAACACCATGCCTGGCTAGTTTTGTATTTTTTTTTTTCTAGATGGAGTCTTCCTCTGTCGCCCAGGCTGTAGTGTAGTGGCACGATCTCGGCTCACTGCAATCTCCGCCTCCTGGGTTCAAGCAATTCTCTTGCCTCAGCCTCCTGAGTGGCTGGGACTACAGGCGTGAGCCACCTCACCTGGACTAATTTTGTATTTTTAGTAGAGATGGGATTTTACCATGTTGGCTAGGCAGCTCTTGAACTCTTGGTCTTAAGTGATCCACACACCTCGGCCTCCCAAAGTGCTGGGATTACAGGCATGAGCCACCTCACCCGGCCTCCTTGTTCATTTTTAAATAGCTGTGTAAACCACAAGTGTTAGGAATGCTTTAAAGTATTAATAAAATAAAAGTCTGCTATCAGATTATTTCTTCTGGGAGTAAGGTAACCCCACTTAACAAGTTTACTGATTGAATGAAAGTACTCAAAATGCTAGACCCTTCTAACAAATGACCTAAGAGAAAAGTCAGCACTCTGTAAGTGGTGGTAAATTTTTTGTTTATGAACAAGCTTTGTTAGAGTAATGAAGGTGTAATTTAATGAAAAAATTAACACAATTTCAGTACACCTTCTAGGAGCTCTTTATAAGCAAGGTATGAGGCAAATGATCAAGCACACCACAGATGCTTTTTTCTTTTCTTTTAGGAGTGTACAAATATCATGTTTGTTTCTACTTATTCTTATTTTGTAGCCTACCTCCAAAGACTGATTTTTTTTTTTAAAGCAATGCTTAGTGAAGCAGAGAATTTTATACCAGCCTTATAACTGGGAAAGCCTTCCAGGAGGAGATGAGAATTGAGGCCTAGGACATACGCCTAGCTGTTGGGGAAAACACTCTATCAGGAATCTAAGGATAAAATACTTCACAGGGAATAGGGTTGTGGAGGATTGGGAACTAATAGATGAACAAGTAACTCTCTGAGTGTTTAAAAAATTATATAAGAAGAATGGATCCCAGCTGTTCTATACTTTATGAAGGCCAGACAAGAAGGAATGGACTGAACTTGAAGCAAGAATTGACAAAGGAGGTCCTTAAGTACTGGAAATGCTCATGAAAGGAGCTCCTGTGCTCATCCCTTCATACACACATACAAATGCAGCTGTTAATCTCAGTGCATGGAAACCAGGCTGCAAGATCTTTTGAGGCCCTTCACAGTTTTATAGAAATTTGAAAAATAACTGAATTGGGTTATGTGGCTCCACGAACAAAAAATTCTAGTAAGTTATGCTGCTTTTCCAAACCCAAGTTCTTTGAAAACAGTCAGGTTATGCATAGTATCACTGGAAAGACAGCCTTCAAAGGCTTGTTACTTTCTCCTGTAGTGAACCAAGTAGAGACTTGACAGTCAATATGCAGACATCTGGCCACTTGCAAATGTGAGAATCCACTCACTTATTCATTTTATTTTTAAACAGTTATTGAGTGGCTATCTAACTGATAGAGTCTAACTAATTTCAATGAATAAAAGAGAATAAAAATGTCAAAGTATATGCAACTTTGTACGGGTTTATGTACATATATTTTTTATAAATTCAGATTATTTTACTCTTTTGTACACAGTTTAGCTCTCAGTCCCAGTTACTGTAGATAAGACTGAAAAGAAATGGATAAAGATTTATTACATTATACATAGAGTTTTATGTTCTAATTTGTTAACATAATTTTTAAGCATTGCCTATTTCACCAAAATGACATTGAAAACAAGATTTTACTTGGTGGATACTAATTAGTGCTTTCTTCTATGTTAGACATTAAGCTGCTTTCAATTTTTCATTGCAATAAACAATCCTTAGAATAGAAACATAGTAGGAGAGCTACTAAGCCAAAGGGTAGAAACATTTTTAATGCTGCCAGATTGCCATCCAGAAATTCCATCAAGTGTATGAAAGTGTCTTTTTCATTGTAACTTACCAACGTTGACTGTTCACAGTGTAGCACTCAGAGTCTGGAATAACATTAAATGGTTTCTGATTTGAACAGGACTGATGAAATTATTCAGCATTAGGCATATTATCATGGGCGTATGGGATTATTTTCCATGATTTTAAATTAAAAAAATCCTTTAGAAATTCCTTTGATTTTACACACATTCATTCACCAATTTGACAAATATTAACTGGCTAGTCAATAAGTTCCTACTGTGTGACAGGCTTTGACCTCTATTAACAGAATTGATGGGCTGGGCGTGGTGGCTCTGGCCTGTAATTCCAGCACTTTGGGAGGCTGAGGCGGGCGGATCATGAGGTCAAGAGCTCGAGACGATCCTGGCCAACATGGTGAAACCTCTCTTTACTAAAAATACAAAAATTAGCTGGGCGTGGTGGAGCACGTCTGTAGGCGCAGCTACTGCGGCGGCTGAGGCAGGAGAATCGCTTGAACCTGGGAGGCAGCAGCTGCAATGAGCTGAGATGCTGCCGCTGCACTCCAACCTGGTGACAGAGTGAGACTCGATCACAAAAAAAAAAAAAAAAAAAAGGGTGAAATTTCCATGCGGTACTATAATATCTTGCCTAGTTTACTGTGCCAGCTTTTCTTGTGTTTCCCCCGGATTCAGTCTTCATATTCATCACTGCTGTGGTTAATTTTTTTTTTTTTTCTTTTTTTTGAGACAGAGTCTTGCTTTGTCTACAGGTGCCAGGTTGGAGTGCAGTGGCGTGATCTCGGCTCACTGCAACCTCCGCCTCCTGGATTCAAGCAATTCTCCTGCCCCAGCCTCCCGAGTAGCTGGGACTACAGGCGGACGCCACCACGCCCAGCTAATTTTTTTTTTTTTGTATTTTTAGTAGAGACGGGGTTTCGCCATGTTGGCCAGGATGATCTCGATCTCTTGACCTCGTGATCCGCCCTCCTCAGCCTCCCAAAGTGCTGGGATTACAGGTTTGAGCCACCATGCCTGGCCTGTCGTGGTTAATTTTATATGCCAACTTGACTGGGCCACAGACTGTACAGATATTTGGTCAAACATTTTTCTGGGCATCTCTGTGAGGGTGTTTTTGAATGAGATTACCATTTACAGGGATAGACTGAATAATTAGATTGCCTTTCCTAACATAGGTAGTCCTCATCCAATCAGTGGAAAGCCTGAAAAGATGAAAATACTTACCTTGGTCCCCAGTTTGCTGAGTCACCAGACAAATCTTGGGATATGCCATAAATGCATTAGCCAATTCCTTATCACCTCTCTCACTCTCTCTTGTTTTTCTATCCCTCTCTCTCTCTCTCTCTACACACACACACACACACACACACACACACACACACACACACACACA